GCCAGATGTTGTAGCAAGATCCAGTTTTGGTAACACGGTAATGAGGATCACTTAGACACTTTGTATAGGAAATTCTGATACAAAGATTGCAAGCTTTTTCTCACAAATGTATCCGTGTATTAAAGAATTTGCGACAGATAATCTCAGCCGAAATTTTAAACCAGACTTTTCGTCCTGTTGTTTTATTACCCTAATAACATCTAATGTGGGATTAATTCATGCCACTGAAGTTGGTGAGCATTTTCCGCATCGGTTGACGGCAATTTTTGATTTTAACTTTTTTCGTTGAATAAAATAATTTTAGCTTTTTTCCGTTTCATACTGTCAAGAAGCGTTGATATTTTTTCAATTTTTGGTTCATGATGGTATAATTTAGCGTTTTTGAAATTTTACAGCGCAGATCTTTTGCTTTTTTGGGTGGAAAATGTTACTCATATTATTCACTTTTTCCCTCACTGAGAGCTAGTTGCTTTTTCCAACAGTAGGTTGCCTCATTTTTGATTTGCGTTCTAAAATTCCTTCATTTAACCTTCAGTGAGTTCGATTGCCGCAATCGTTTGGGTTCTCAGTCATGCCATTCCTCTGATTCTTCAGAGTTGTCAGTTCAGGGGGCAATATATTTTTAGTTTATCGTTTATATTTTTTCCTGTTGTTATCTTTGTTCTTTTTTTTTGATGTGTGGAAGCAGTTTTATTTTGATGAATTTACGAAGTGAATAGTATTGGCTAGAAAGACATAATCGACAGCGCACCTACTGCCGGTGTGAAGATGCGTTTTTTGCACAGTCACCCCTCCTCCTCCTCCCCCACCCCCCGCTCCCCATCCACAGGTTTCTGTCGCTAATACCACTGTTTTTTCTGGCAGATGCTTACAACTTAGAGAATTAAGAGTGGCCATTCACGACTGTTAGAAATTATTACGTCAACTTCCAATCCACCAAAATCCAGCACTATAGGTGCTTTGGTTGCAGAGTTGCATCAAATTTCATTTATTGTTTGTGCGTGAGTGGCAACGTGAATGTTCCCTTCGTGTGCGCTCCTCAAACACAGTTCTGGATAACACTCAGAAAATTTCAGCGCTCTAGCTGTTTTGGTTGAGAAGTCATACCAAATTTTCATATGTCCGTACGTGAGATGCAAAACTGCTGGAAAATTCAATTTACTTTCACGAGCACAACATTGGGCGACAAGTAACCTACAGAACTGCAGCTCCCTACAACTTCCTAGTCAACCCCAATCTGGATTTGGCATGATGGCACTTTAGACTTGACGTTGCGTACGTGAGGCTTAGGGGTGCGTGAAGGCTTAATTTAAAATTTTTGGATTATACGCTGCCAAGGAACATCTTTGTGAAGTTCCAGCCTCCTAGCTTTCGCCGTTCCCGGAAACGCTTTTCCGCCAAAAAGAATTTCACGTGCCCGTACGTAAGAACCACGCGAAAGTGAGCGTCCGTTTTGAAGGTTGAGGCCCGCACGTATGTGTAAATTAAGTTACCAAAGTTTCAGCCTTGTAGCTTTTGTGGATCTCGAGATGAAAACTCGCTACCGACGCACACACAGACACACATAGACAAATGCACACACATGCAGACACACACACTGACAATCCCTCGATACTATGCGTTTTTGCATTGCATAGATGCAAAAAACGCATAAAAATGTCCATTCGGGTGATCTCTGAAAAAGTGCCCATACTGTGCGTAGTGAAGGCGGCGGATACTTGCTGCTTATATGGTGCACAAAATCAAATAGCTTGCTGCAGGTGTCCCCAGTATGTAAGCATAGTTGTGCTATTCGATCCAGTAACATGGGATTTCCGCCAAGTAGGTTAAAGCGATCTTCGTAATCTTGCTTTTTTAACATCCTTTTTCTCTTCAGGCCGAAGTGAAAGCGTTTGTTATTGATGAACGCACATTTTACTGCATTGATGATGAAGGCCATATGTTAGATGACGATTTGGATGAAGATGATAAGGTGCGAGTTTTTGACTTTTACATCCTGCTTGGGGAACATATTTCACTGAAAAGCCCGTGGCTTTTTTGCCCTGCTTGTTTTAAACGCTATTTATGTGACCCTCGTTTGTTGTAGCAATTGCTTTTACCTCTCCCTCGATCATCGGAAAAACCATTGCATTTACTTCATTACTAGTAAGAAAATTTAGCCTTCGATGGAGAAAGCGTTCGATGTCCTGTTTTTAGATGCTGAAAACATCTGTATTTTAAAATATATTTGCGATTATGGTCGTGTGGCAGGCACTACTTGGTTTTCTTTTAAAAAGAGGTGACTGAATCCATTACTCTGCTAATCTATCAATTCAGCCTCAGTTAACAGTGATTGATTTTTTTATAGCACTGACTGATGTC